GCTGTGTAGCAGACTAATATCGTCAAGCAACGCCCCTCACCAATGTGTGAAACTAAGGCTATGTTCACACTATACTATACAGCCACAGCCGTGTTTAGTGTTGTGACGGGAGGAGTGTTGCGTAAAGACACTAAAAACGGTTGTGTAGCAGACTAATATCGTCACACAACGCCCCTCACCAATGTGTGAGACTAAGGCTATATTCATACTATACCCAATATCTGTTTAGTCTGCTATACAGCCACAGCCGTGTTTAGTCTTGTCACGAAAGGAGTGTTGCGTGACGACACTAACAACGATTGTGTAGCAGACTAATATCGTCACGCCATACCCCTCACCAATGTGTGAGACTAAGGCTATGTTCACACTATACCCAATATCTGTTTAGTCTGCTACACAGCCACAGCCGTGTTCAGTGTTGTCACGGGAGGAGCGTTGCGTGACAACACTAACAACGATTGTGTAGCAGACTAATATCGTCACGCCATACCCCTCACCAATGTGTGAGACTAAGACTATGTTCACACTATACCCAATATCTGTTTAGTCTGCTACACAGCGATCTTGAAAAGTGGAGGGTCATATATCGGATTGGTTTTCATATTATACCGGATAACTTTTCGTGTCGGCAGGAGAAGCCATCTGGTATTGTGTGAACTTAGCTTAAAGGGGCTGTGTCACGGCAGTCCAGTTCATTTTGTTTAATTTTGCCAATTACTCGCCCTCAATCGCTATGGAACTTAAAGTAAGCAAAGAAATGACAGGTGAATGACAAAATCCGAGATACGAGACAAATATGTCTCCTGAGCATTATTTTTGATGTTGCAAGGAGCAGGGATCAACTTTGAAAAACTGTTAGGCTGAACAGTTTTCAAAAACCCTAGTTTTAATCCGTTTCAGTCTTCTTCAATTTTGCCCATCCGTGGCATCTATTGTTTCTGTTCTGTTATTTTAACCTTCCTTTAAAGTTTTAAGCGGTTATTTTTTATGTTTCTCTTAATTTAACGGGCATTTTGTAATTTTTTAATTTGGCTGAATTTCGTGACAAAGCTCCTTTTAGGGTTGGCAGGGCCAGAAATGAGCCCACCAATAATTATAAAGACTGGGAGCTAAGCAGCTGAACAAATAAATACCAGTCTGCGTAAGTCTACGGTAAGTGATGTGACAAGTGTTGTTACAATAAAGCGATCAATAAAAAAACAAAAAATTTTCTAACCTGATTTAACTTCTTTGAAGAGAGCATTGTTCATGTTATACTTATTAGTGCATATTGTATTTGTAAGGAGAACCTTTTGAAGGAAAAGAATAACCATATAAATTAAAAATCCGCTGGGAAATCCATTTAGCAAAGGCCCCCCAAAATACCGTAAAATTCCGCAAATAAGCCCCGGGGCTTATATTTTTCAAAGGCCCTTTTTGAGGGGCTTATTTTTGGTGGGGCTTATATTCGGAGGGGCTTATCTACGAAGGGAAATTTGCATTTCAAAATCGATTGGGCTAGCTTTATATTTGAAATAAATTTACCGTTTTTGCTTTGTTTTCCTTTGTATTTGAGGGCAATTTTCCAAGTACAAGCCCCCGAGGGGCTTATATTTGGAGGGGCGATTTAACGGAGGGTTTTTTGCGTTACCGGTTTGGGGGGCTTATATTTGGAGGGGCTTATGCATGGAAGGGCTTATTTTCGGAATTTTACGGTAATTCCTACCCTTTCCCGGGTATACAGTCGCACCTCCACTAACGGTCAACTCTCTACAACGGCCATATGTTTAACCCATTCGCCCCTGGGAATTTTGCCGAAAAATGCGTTTTGAAGCTAGTTGAGCGGTTTTCTAGTCTTGTCTGGCTATAAAGAGCTAAAAATTGCCACAAAGCCGTTTGCAGGTCGTACATTTCGCGGTGCCTGATCCAAATGCAAAATATCAGTTTGCGAAGTTCGGGTAATGCGCATGCGCAGAAAGAAAATGGGAATTTTGCCGAAAAATGAGTTTTGAAGCTAGTCGAGCGGTTTTCTAGTCTTGTCTGGCTATAAAGAGCTAAAAATTACCACAAAGCTGTTTGCAGGTCGTACATTTCGCGGTGTCCTGATCCAAATGCAAAATATCAGCTTGCGAAGTTCGGGCAATGCGCATGCGCAGAAAGCAAACTTTTGGAGTTTAAAAGTGACACAGTAGTCTTGACTTTTTCTTTTCGCCTTCTCTCTTCTCCTTTTCTTTCGCTTTTCTTGCCTCATTTTTTTTCTTTTTAATTAGTAGGCTTCGTTTTGGTTGGAAAAGTCTTTGGGAAACCTTTTAGGATCTTAGGATTAAATGAACGGAAAGGTAGGTGGGTAGTGAAACAAGATTTTTAAGGACATTTTCGGGTCAACTTTACATGGTTTTTTGTCTTTTTCTCCGGTCTCCTTGACTTTATCGTGCTCATTCTGGTATGGTTTGAAAGATCTCTTCACCCTGCACAAGTTAGCGGACAAAGTTGTCCTTGAACGTTAAAACTGATGACGTCACAAGCGGGAGAAGGGACCTGTATCCGCACGGGCGGTTACAGGCGGTTACGGGCGGTTACGGGGTGAATGGATCAAATACACTACCCATTATCACCTCATGACTGGCACTTGATAGACCCTGGTTTATGGATCGCGTTGCTCTGGAAATCACAGCCGTCATGGCAAACAAGTTGATGCAGGCATCAGCCATTCGCTTCAACAGAAGCTGCTCCTCGATAATGTTCTAAAAACGAGGAACACCAAAGAAAGGAATGTTAGAGGCTTCTCTTAGATAAGTTATGCCGGCACTCTCACTACTGTAAACTTAGCATTCAAATTTGCTACACATTTAAAGACTGCGAGCAGTCTCTCTTTATCTTCAAATTTAGTAGGAGCAGTGCACGCGCACGCGAGACACGAAAAACGAGGGCGGCTGGCTCCTTCAATCACGCATATGGTCATTTGCGTGTCTCACGCGTATTGCTCGATGGACCAAGAAAAAAGAGAGACTGCTCGTAGTCTACACATTTGCAAAGGGAAGCCTGAAAATTTTGTAGCCTACGATTTCACTTAAACAACCATTGGTCAGGCTTAGCATATAAGAGTAACTTGAACACGAAAAAAACCTGACTTAATGCTGCTGTTAGAACACTTGTTGTATTCAGTGGTGAATTATATCAGCAAACTATAAAAAAATACATCTCTTTTGGAGCTCTTTCTAGATTTTTTCGGCTGTGGAGATCAGCTCTACAACAGTTTGACTTTTTAAAAAGCGTTCTAAAAAAGTCCGTTAATACCAAAAAATAGTTAAGATAAAAACATATTTTGTAATGTAGATAAATTACAGGGTGTAGCACCTTTCCGTATTTGGTGAGCAAAGTTTCTGATATTCTGCCAAAATCAGCAACATTTTCTTCCAGCTTTTTTGCGCTATCCTGCCATAAATGTTACACAAATGAATGGGTGTTAGATTGATCTCCAGGTAACACAGTCACTTAATAAAGGTTATATCATATGTACCGTAAAAACTTGTTTTTCCGTAAAGGGACAAAAGTGGTTGTTTAATACTGAAATACACGACAATGAGGATGGCCGACAGTTCATTAGCAATTGATCTAAGTTCCTTAACTTAGAGCGGTTTTCATTTGAGTGTCGAAAAGTAATTGGTTTTGCACTTTCTACACGATGCGATTGGCTTAAAAGATTCGCGCCACCTTTTCATCCAATCAGAAGTAAAACCAAAGCCAATTGTGACATTGCGTCAGCCACATGTAATTACTTCGAGTTTTGATTGGTTCAATGTATTGTCTGTGTCCTATGTGATTGGCCAGAGTAATTACTTTGGTTTTGGTTTTACGACACTCAAACGAAAACCACTCTAACAGAAGTTTGTACGGGTTGAAACCAAACTCAAAACTATTATGGCAACTCTGTCATGTCATCTCCTTTGTCTTTTAAAAAGCTATGCTTAGTGGCAGCTTTTTAGCGGTCCACAATCCAGTAAGCAAAACAGCCAATCAGAGCGCCAGTTTTCAACCACGTGATGATAATAAACCAAACACGTACGTTTTTTAAGCCAATCAGAGTGCCGAGTTTCGATCACATGACACTGACAGGAGATATGTTCAAACAGGGTTCATCGAAATGGAAGTTACTCGAAAAAGAAAATAAGACGAGATTAAAAGCGAAAGGAAAGGACTAACCGCCAAAAGAGGATGAGCAACGCTGGCAATTCCCTGCAAGTTTCCTTTTAACCCCAGCAAGTATAGAAGCCTTTTTGAAGCGAAGTCCACGATAAATTCTGAGTTTGAAAAAGGATTTTTCAAAAATCTATGAAAAGAAATAATATTGATGACATTAGCCTACAAGCATTGGTAGAGACTCTTAAAGACTTGGCAGTCAGTTTTGGGGACATACACATAATGAAAAACGTTAAATGTTGATTTACATGTGACTTGTGAACTAGCTAGGCATAAAGCCGTAAAGGTGATGTTACACGGACGATTCGCAACGGCCATTTTTAGCCCAACACAGCGTTGCAATAATGCAACAATGTTGCAACCATTGAAGTAATGTCACAATAATGTTACAACATTGGGTTGCACTAAAAATCGTCGTTGTGAATCGTCTACTTTAACATCACTTTAACACAATGGAGCTCTAATTATTCCATTAGATATAAATGAAGTGGCCAAGTATACTGAAGTTTTAACTATCCGGAATGAATGTATTTTCACTAAATTATGAATACACATTATCTTTAGACACAGAAACTTAGCATTAGTTTTCCTCTTACTTCACAAAGGCAGTGTCTCTCTTTATTTCCATTTTGGTAAAATACTTTAATACTGTGTTGTAGGACAGTGACTGCATGAAACAGAGCACGTCCAGTCATACCAATCCTGCCAGCTATCCACCAGGCTATCAAATGGATTAAAACACGCCATTTCTGACTTCGAAAAACTCTCATTTTCAAAACGAGGCTAAGGGCAAAACTTTTCCAGTGAAAATGAGTTGTATTTGCATCAGAATAAAAACTCATTTCCGTACAAATGGCTTTGCACTTAGCCTCGCTTTAAAACTGAGGCTTGTGGCAACTCTAGCCTGCTAGCAAGCTCTCCGGGGCGCTCTGGCGGCGGGGCGGGAAAAGGAAAGAGAGCTTGCAACTACGTCTCTGGAATTTGAATTCTACCTCCAATTCCTCAGTGGCTACCCATCGATTTAACTGTCAGATTTCTGCCAATCAGCGCAAAGGGGAAACGAGCGAGAATTAAACAAACATAGAAAAACACATGAAGATCATTACTAACGTCATCTCCGTCAATCAGCATTTTACATTGACTTTTTCGATGCAGATATTCATTATCAAGAAACGTAGTTACAAGCTGTCCTTCCTTCTCCCACCCCACCGGCGGAACGCCCCAGACAGCTTGCACGCAGGCTAGGCAACTGGGATTTGGCCTATATATTCATTGTTTAGAACTCTTTTGAGTTACGAAGGCGATAGAGCGATTTTCGTATGACCTTGAAATGAAATCGTGCGAACAAAACAGAAACAACAAACGAAGGGAAATAGAGCGATTTGATTGGTTTGTCGAACGGATACAAACGCGCGTCGCTTTTGGTCGGTTAAGCGAAAGCTCGGCTGAAAAAACTTCATGCCCGAAGAACTTTCTAGAAATCGCTTTGACGTCATACTGCGACACGATTGGCTAATCGAACAATGCCTTCTCCGTATTAGGGTTCTCTTTGGCGGGAAAACGAAGAGTCCATGTTTTGATCTTTTCATCGATTGGCTAATAAAACAAATAACGAACACTTACCGAAACCATTTTTCAAGGTCATACGAAAATCGCTCTATACATACTTTAACATTTCCTGATACTGCTTCCCAGCATGCTGCATTCCAGTCAGAGCTATGTACATTCTTAAGATTTCGTTGGTGCCCTGTAAATCAAATTTGAATGGATGATATTAACTTAAGCCAGTAAGGCATAATGAAAACACGTGTACTCCTGATTGCTTCCCATTTACTACAAAATCGCTTTTCATTTTTATTTTTCATTTAAACCTTTAATATTTTTCATTCATAACTCACCTCAAAAATTAGCAAGATTCGTGAATCTCTAAGAACTCTCTCATACGGATATTCCCTCATGTACCCTAGTCCTGTAACAACAAACACATGGGTTATTCCTCAAAAGAATTAGAATCCAAAGTATTATTTTACCATGTACACTTTTTGCATACCACTCACAGTTTTATCTTCTTGAATTTTGACTTTAGCCAACTGCACTTTCTAGCTTTGTCCAGGAATTTGGATACCATAAATGATCGATTAAGGGCCACTACTTGAATAAGCGCATCTCTTGCATAAGCACCGCATCTTTACCGAAAATAAATTAACAAGCACCACTCTCGAATAAGCACCGTGGCTCTGGGCATTTACAAGTAAATGCCCCACCTTTGTTTTGGCGCTTGATATAGAGACATATCAAAACCATATTGTTCGCGAAATTAGAACCATCAACTAAACTAGTGAGTTCTAATGTACGGGAGCTCTCGAAACCAGGTTCATATGACTGCTTGAGGTGTACATAATATTTTAAAATATTAAAAAATATTGTGCATACCTTAAGTACACATACGCCTCACTTAATTCGCTCTATATTCCCCTCAGTGTTTTACCCGTAGTTGAAATAAGCACTGCTCTTGGATAAATGCTGCACCTTTAACAGGGAAAACGAAATAAGCACCACAGTGCTTAATCGATCATTTATGGTAGTGGCCGAGTGCTGCGTGACATCAGAGAGCAAAAAAAATAAGGAAGAGAGGGAGAGAGAATGCAATGTTCACGCCTTACACCACCCCCATAATGTACACTGTACCTCCTAATATCTGCAGGGCATCATTAACTCCACTCCACAGACCTTCTGATCCATAAACCTGTAAAGAAACAGAACTGGTGAGGCTAGAATATCTTACAACAACTTGACTCAAGTATGAATGTGTAATCTGCTATATACCCAGCTATTCTTTGTGTTCTCATGCAGCACTTGATCTCACAGTGGATATTACATGTGTGCATGGAGTTGGCCATGGTGGAGGTCCAAAAACTCAATAAATCTTTTTGATTGACACACGAAAAAAAGGCCCGTATGCTAAAACTTAGCAATTTCTGAGCAAAAAAAAAGAAAAACACCCAAAAACGCCGTTTTTTCCACTTGCATCTTCATAACCTCTATTCATTTAATAATCATTGTAAAATTATTCAAATATTAATTTTTTGGGGGTACAATAATTGTCCTGTATACATGAGCAGGAGACCTCAGCAAGATCTGCTGAGATTTTACATGCAGCCAGTTGGTGCTTTTCAATATAAACTCTATCAATCGTGACAAAATGATGCTGTATAAATTTTCTTATAAATATAGATTAATAACATATTTCCCATTCTATGGTACATGCAAGTCTACCATCACTGAAATCTGCCATCATAATGGTACCAACAATTATATCAAAATCAATTTTAAGCTTTGAAAAACATAATATCACATTTCTTGGAGTTTGTAGATCTTTTATAGTCAAGAAAGACATTGACAAAATAATAAAGTGCCACAGTTTCCAAATGCAATCAATAACGGATCGTTATACATTTCTGGGAAACTGCCCACCTACCCCTCCCCTAAGCCAACATTAACACTTACTTCTCACTTAAGGCAAAACGTTGGCTTAGGGGAGGGGTATGTGGGCAGTTTAACAGAAATGTATAAGGATCCACAATAACTAACCTTACACATGGCGGCCTCTACTGATGCATCTTCCTCTCCACTATCCAGAATTCCAGTCGTAAGATAAGACATGGATTCTACTGTGTACTGCTTCAGTGTCATGTTTGCAAACTTCTCCTAAGAATTAAAATTAAGATTTAATTAACACTTTTTAAAAATTTTTATGACAAAAGTGTTGAAAAAATCTTATGTTTAACTCTTGAAGCAGCTGGTGCGATTATAAAATTTAATATTCCTTCTTGGATTTCTTAAAATTCATCCAAGACTACAGTTTAAAGCCACAGATAATTATGAGTCTGTGGAGACCACAGACTCATACCTGTGGCTGTAACTGTCAAACTGGAATTTGGAAATGTTAATTTTTGTGGGAATTAAAAAAAAACAAAACAGAGAATAACGCAGACCCCAACCTTTCCTAGAGTCTTAGAATCAAACAAACTGTCCCAACAGTATAATGAAGCTTTCATTTTAAGAGGTGGCAAAATTATTTTTCCCCTTACTTTCCTTATCATATGCAACATTGTACCTGGATCTGACCAAATTCTGACAGATGTCTGTTAAACTGTTTCCTTGTGGTGGCATGTTCTGAAGCATTTGCTGAGGAAACAAGATAAGACAATGTAGACTGATTGAATCACCATGAGACATTAAGAAACTGTGTTTGTATTTACAGCTCATTTCAATCATAATTGTTAAATGTCTTTTTGGCTAAATCCGAACCCATAAGAATTTTGTGGAAAAATACAAATAAAGGAAATAACCAAATGTTTACTGTTGCTGATAATATAATAATTAGTAGGCATAATGCAAAGTCATGCTCTGATATGTAAATCATTTCTTAGTCTCATGCAAATAAAACTTTCACAAGAAAGATTTGTACTTGGCCTTAGAGAAAGTGAGAGTTGTTGGAATTCAGAACATGGCTTATTTGCTGATTAAAAACCATAAAAGGATTATTGGAAAAAAATGTCAGGTCCAGATCTAGTAGGAAGTTTCAGATACTATCAACATTTAAATTATCATTATGTGATGTATATCTGTCTCAATCTACAGCTTAGAATTTTAGCTTTAACTCAATTTTTAGAATTTGAGCAGTCTCTCCTTTGCTTGAAAATTTGAGTGAGCACATTGTATACATGTATATGTGATCATGAGTACGCAAGCAGCAATCGCCATTGGACATTGAGTCACGTGGAGGGCAGTTAACAAGCGATGCAGCTCACAGCCGCTTATTTGCACCCATGTACAGATTTTCAACCACAGGAGAGGCTGCTCGGGTCTACATATTTTAATTATACAATGTCTAAAATAGAAGGAAGGCATTACTAAAGTGATATATAAACTGATCAATGCTTTTGTTCTTTATTTCGATTTTTTATACCTATTAATTTTCTCAAGCCTCCTCCAGCTCCCGCTCCAACACCAAACCTACCACTATTCAGGATGTTCATAGCGACCTACAACAAAGTTAAAAATTCAGGACTCATGACACCCTAAAATAGAAAGTTCCATTCATTATAAAAATAACTAATAAAATACCAGATGAGCTCTCACATGAAAACAAAATATCTTCACATTAAAATAACATGTTACATGTATTTTCAGATGTGAAAAGATCACTGTTGCTATGGCCCGGGGAGGGTAGGGGTACTTCAGGACTTTTTGGGTGGGGATGAGCCGCTGAGACCCTGGAACCCTTAGCCTATACCAGAGCTGGTTCAAGTGAATTTTACTACCCTATACTAGACTAAACTCCCCAAATCCCCCCATATCCTAGAGTAGCTGTTGTCCAGAAACAACTGAGGTCACTAGCACAGCCCAACCAAAACAAAACCAATTTGATTTTTTTATATTCTTGAGTGGCAATTCCCGGTTTCCCTTATATACCCTATCCCAGAGTAAACTGCTTGAAAACCATACCCTTCACAGCGTCACATACCTAAATAGCCCATATATGGCAGTACCCATCCCCCAGGGCTAAGGCTACACGATAAATTGCATCTTTCCCAGCAAAAAAGAAAATATAAAGTGAAATGGTTTGGGTTTTTCTTCTTTGGTGTTTATATTGAAAATAGAACATTACATGGCTGATGGTTGGTAAAAAATTTCTCTCAGAGCGGTTCAAAGATATTCCAACCATTCACTGCACTCTCTAACATTTTTCAACACTCTAAGGGAAATTTTGTATCTCCTGGTACTAACAAAGTCTTGATGCCCTAAGAATTTTGAT